GACATGTTAAATGGCTTGGTTCCTCTAATTTCCCTATACCGTTCGGGAACCAAACAACAGCAGGAACCAGGGACCACCCGTGTGCTTGTTAAGCCCAATTGACACCTTGTAGCGATTTCCACCTCAGTGTTCTGTTTGTCTGGGTGGCAGTCATTCATATGAACGACCACTAGGTGGTGGCCATCTTGTTCCAGCAAACACAGACAGAGGTGTTTGAGCATCGAGCTCCTGGAACTATAATGGACACTGAAACTCCTGAACACCACTGGACTCCCATAATCGCCTGCATTCGTTTCTGTACAACCTGTAAGGGCACTGTTCGGTGGAATAGATCACATAGATGAGGTGAACAAGCTACACACTGTAATTATGGATTATGTTAGATATTTTATTTACTTTGGTACTCCCGAAAGAGACAGACCGCTAGCACTGATTTCATAGAACTATTTTGGGCAGTAGCCTTGTGTGAGATCGGTCCAAACTTTGCCCCAGTGGTGTTTCGGCTGTGTTCGTGTCTTTTTTATATTTTATACTTTTATGCGGAGTCACTGTGACCTTGTACTTTCTGGGCATAATGTAGGTGTGGTTATGGGTGTGTTCACTGTACTCAGATTTTGTATATAAGCAGGCCATCTAGCCAGAATAAAACATTCCAGTTGTACTTCCAGAACTATGTGTCATCTGGTTACTGGGAGGGGAAAGGGGTAATCACTGTTCCAGCTCTTGGAGGATTTGGTGGGGAAAGACCTTGTAAGGACTAGAGCTCTCAGGACTGTGTGTCATCCAGCCCCTGGGAGGGAATAGAGCTAGTCCCCTGTTCTAGCTAGGAAGTGGTCCTTGACGGAGGTATCCAGCCGGGGTACAGGTAGCTCTGTTACAGACAGCTCTAAGTTTCACTATGGCATGAGTTATATATTATATTCACCTCTCAAATAACTTCTTTGTTTACGTTATGTTTACCTGAGATACTTTCATTCCTCAAAACAACTTCATCTTAATGAAATAGTTTTAAGGTGAGTCCTTGGACACTGCCTTACCTCAAGGGGTTAAACCATGTTTCAATGTTTAAACCTTGAATTTAGGTTCCTTGTGCCTATCTTCCCTGCTTTCTGCACTCTGCTCCACCACACTTTTTCCTATGCTTCTTCTTGGGCAACAGTGATTGGCTGAGAGCATCAGCCGACACTTTCAGCCAATCACTGGCCACATATACCGTAAGTACTGTAACTTTCAGTGGATGTCTGGTGATGTTCACAGCCAAACACTGCTATCCAAGCAGAAGCCTAGGGAGAAGTATAGCAGCTGTGGCAGGAACTGCAGAAGACACGGTAGATGTGGCCAGGGATCCAAAGTTTGGGTTAAAGCATTCATTCAAAGTCTGTTTAACCCTTCCAGGTAAGTTTGTGCCCAGGAACTCCTCACCTAAAAACAACTTACTTAAGATGACATTGTTTTGAGAGAATAAAGTTTCTATAAATTATAATCTTAAAAGTAGTGGAAGGCTGATCATATGGCCGTGGTGGCTAATCTTGGCATCTAGTTTGTTTCTGAACTACACTTCCTATCATACTCAGACAGTCTTACGGTAAGTGTGCATCATGAGAGAGGTCGTTCAGAAACAGACGGGATGTGAACATTAGCCATGACTGTGTTACTGAGAATTCTTTACAAATGGTTGCATAACTTGAAACATCATTGATTTGTAATACTCTGAAAATAGGGACTTGTAATTAATCAGCTTTAAAATCAAAACATATATCATTTGGTTTTAATTATCTCTAACAGGACCAAGAAACAAGGTAATTCTGCTTTTAGTCATGATTGCCGCTATACTCTTTCTTTACAATATCAACTGTTTCTTAATTTATACAAGGAGGGCTAGATTCTCGAACAATGAGCACAGATTGAGAACAGAGCAAAGACAAGCGCAGATGCTTCCCATTTTGGCTGTCTGTGTAACTTATGAACCATGAACATGGTTTGTTAAAATTGTTTCTTCACTTGTGCTACTTTACACCACAACATCAGTGAAGAAGAACAGCATGAAATAAATAACACATAACTGCAATGACATATCACCAGTGAGAAAATTCAAAAACTATCACAAAAAAAAGTACAATTACCAAGTTCTTTCCAAAATGACAACATTAAAGAGGAATAGTCACCTCCAATAATTAACCAAACAGGTTGATGATTTTCAAAACCCTTTCCCCCTAAGAAAACAGAATAATAATTTACAAAAGTGTAAATGTTCATAAACATTAAAAATTATTCCTTACTACCGCGAGGAAGATGCAAGGGATGGAAGAACTAAATATTGCTCAAAAACTGGTCATAAGGGAACCAATTTGGTAATACAATTTGTCAGTTTTTTTTCTATCTAGAATTACAATTTAATTTCTGGTGCATCTGACCATCAATTTGTACATACTTTACTTTGACAGCTCTGTAATAGTACATTAAAGGGACACTATAGTCACCAGAACAACCACAGCTTATTATAGTTGTAATCTACTGAGTATAATCATTCCCTTCAGGCTTTCTGCAGTAAACACTGGCTTTTCAGAGAAAAGGCAGTGTTTACATTACAGTGTAGGGATACCTCCAGTGGTCACAACTCAGATGGACAGTGACATTCAGTGTCTCCACCATCTGCATGAAGACATTGAACTTTCCTCATAGAGATGCATTGATTCAATGCATCTAAATGAGGAGATGCTGATTGGCCAGGCTGTGTTTGGCTTGTGCTGGCTCTGCACCTCATCTGCCTCCTTAACAATCTGAGCCAATCCAATGCTTTCCTATAGGAAAAAAATGTGATTGGCTGAGATCACCACTTCTGATGATGTCAGCCAAGTATGTAGATCGGGAGCAGATCAAGCAGCAGCAGACTGGAATAAAAGTAAGATTTTACTATATTTAGGTGGGAAAGGGGGGAGCAGGTGGGCTAGATAGTGATTTTTACACTATAGGGTCAGGAATACATGTTTTTGTTCCTGACCCTATAGTGTTCCTTTAATAAACTGTTAATATTGATATCCTTTACAGGTGCTAACAAATCTGATTGTTCTCATCACTCATCTTCTGCAACTAGACCAGTGTCAGCTTTTAGTTCGGGAACAATATACCACCTACTGGGTCTTACCCTTTTGCACGCAATCTACAAAAAGGGATAATAGTGGGCAATGATATTGCAGGTAAAATGTAAATGATGTGTTAATGGTGATGTGTGGGTTTTCAATAGACAGAGCCTTGAAGGTTAACTTGTACTAAACATACTGTTGCCATATCAGTGCAAAACCCTTTACTCATAGTCTCTACTTGATCCCAATAAATACATCTGTACAAAACATTGTTTTTTTTTTTAATAATAGATTCTCCAGAAGTGGATACTTATATCTTTTTACAGTCCTACGGTTTCATAATACAACAGCAAAATGTTATTGTGATTACTTATCGCGTTTCACATGTAGGACTTCTAAGTCTTTTTATTAAATGATTTTTTGTTCTATGTGAAGCTTTCCAGATAATCCTAAAACTGCTATTCTAACTGATACAAATTATTCAACCCAAGATTCTAAATTCAGACTTTTCTATAGAAACAGGTCCTTAAGATGTCAGACTCTGCATGGGCATTCTCCTATTTCACTCAGCCTTGTTCAGAAACATTCCTTCTCTGTGTAGTTTACAAAATGACTCGTGGATTCCAGGTATTTGAGGTTAAATATGTAAGTCTTGCCAAGACAAACTGAAAATAATATATAGAAGATATATAAAGGCTGTTAAATCAATTATATGTTTTACTGCCAGTAACTCCGTAGTTTATGTAACAGCTCAATTTATTCTGCCGATATAAATGTTACTGGTTGAATTTATTTTATTCGTACTACTATGTGGGGAGAATGCCAAATCGTTCTCTTAAACCTTAGCCAGTATGTAAAAAGATATATATAAATATATGTCATATAAATACAATCATCATTCATAATTTAATACAAATCTATTTTATTTGAACACCTCAAAAATATCTAGACAACTGATTTATATTATGACTGTGGGATTTTTTTTTTTTGTTTATTTTATAAATGATGAACAAAAGTATTTTGTTCCAGTTTTGGTATTCAAGTCATACTGCCAACAGTATCAATATGGGAAAACATGGCATATTTTTTTTTTTCTTTGTATAAATTTTTATTTTTCATTTTAAAAATTTCATCCCAATACATTTTCATAGATAAATTGTTTACAATATGGTACAATATATTCCTTTACAATAGACTGTATAGTTGTTCATATGTTTAGTATAACCATTTTTCATACACTTAAGCATTTTCTACATTATCTACAGTCGAACCAAAAAAAAAAAAAGAAAATAACACACAATTCCTCTTTCTTGCAATCTTACAATTTCACATTGGTACTACCTAGGAGTGGCTATCTGTGGGAGGGGAGTTGAGTTTTTACAGCTAAGATATCTAACCCAAGGGGCCCAAATTTCATCATATTTCTCTCTAGATAACTTGTTTAAAAATAATCCAGCTTCCATCCTATATTGATAATCTATTTGTATACATATATCATGCCAGTTTAACGAACCCATATTTCTCCAATTTCTGGCCATTACTATTTTTATTGCCATAAAAGCATGAATCATAAGATTTTTTTGTTTTATGTTAACTTTTGGCAAATCTAAATGGAACAGGAACATTTGAGCCGTAATAACAGTTTGGACCTTCAAAATAGAGTCCACCAAGTCCGATAAAGTTATTTTCATAGATTTCAACTCCTCACAGTCCCACCAGATGTGGGAGAATGAGCCTAATTCCCTACCACATCTCCAACAATCTGGTAGAAGTGTGGGTTGAAATCTATGAAGGCGAGTGGGCACCAGGTACCAACGATATACCAATTTGAAGTACACTTCCTGTATGTTCACCCCGTGTATATATCTTTTTACTGATTGTAGGCCCGAAATCCAATTTTCAGCCGAGGATGAAAATGCCTATGGCCATACCAGTCTGAAAGTGCCTGATCTCGTCAGATCTCAGAAGTCATGCAGACTTGGGCCTGTTTAGTAATTGTATGGAAAACATGGCATATTTTTAGAATAGCTTGGCACCCAATGCAAATTCCAAGTGTCCCCTGAATCCCTGTGCATGACCCTTGACCTCACAATAAATCAATGCAAAATGATGGCACATTATGTTTTTAGACAATCGTATGGAGGTTCTGATCTCCCCTGCAGTGTAGTAGAGGTGTGTTTACGATTCTTCCTTGTGCACAATTCACCCCACAAAATAATTTACTAGTATTTATGATTGGGTCTGTCACTATCCAAAGGTAGCTGTTTAAAGAAATTAATTTAATTTAACCACTAAACAACCATGCCAGTCTATCCATTCATGCTGGGTAAGGTTTTAACACCAGTAGACGGAAAGCTCCTGTCAATCCCCCTGCACCCCCTTCAGCCCCTATTCCTCCCCTGCACTCACTAATGTTAATTTTACCATTATGTGCCCCCCCCAGGTAGGATAAAGGAATGGGATTAAGGGTAGGTTTATGGGTGGGATTAGGATTTCATAAAACCTCTGAACTTGTCATGTGGTATCTGGCACCAAGACATTAGCAGCAGATCCTTTATGTCCAGCAAGTTGCGAGGTGGGCCTTCATGGATCAGCTTTCTTATTGCAGCACATCCCACAGATGCTCAATCAGATGTTATCGAGGTAATTTGAAGACAATACAACACCTGAACAATTTTTGCAGGGTTCCAAAGTGTATAATCCTGCTAAAAGAGGTCACTGCCATCAGGGAACAACATTGTCATGAAGGGATGTATGTGGTGCAACAATCTCTAGGTAAGTGGTACATGTCAAAGTAGCATCCACATGAATATGGGCAAAGATTTTAAAATAATATCAGGAAGTATTACATTAGTGAGCGGGTAAAAAAATTGGGCAGACTAGATGGGCCGAATGGTTCTTATCTACCGTCACATTTTATGTTTCTATGTTAATGTCAGGACTCTAGGTTTCCCAGCATTACATTGCCCAGAGCATAACACTGCCTCCGCAGGTCTGCCTTCTTCCAGTTTTGATGCTCACGTTCCATTGAACGTGCTTTCAGGGATGGACAGGAGTCATCATGGGCTCTTTGACTGGTCTGTGGCTACACAGCCATAAACGCAGCAAATTGCAATGTAATGTTTAAATGAAAAGTACCTGAATGCTTCTAGTTAAATAACCTGGTGGATTTACTTCATCAAATATATAATTCTTGTGTTGTGGTTGGATTCTGTGGCTACTATTAAAGTTGTAATCTGAACTATTGTGTTATGTATACATGTAAGGAAAAAGAAAAAAAAAGTATATAATATGTTTGCATATAAAAAGGGTATACAATGCTTGGCAAATGTGCTTGAAAGGCCATGGTCACAAATGTTTCACATATCACAATAGCCTTGGCCCTTACAGAGTTAACCTAACCCTCAGTAAATCTCTGCATTTTTTCAGTTGGTCCAGTATAGCCCCTTAGTAGAAGAAAGGAAGAGTCCCGTGGGCCAGATCAATGAAGTTTTGGCTCCATACATATTTTCTTTATATAACAATGTTCGACAGAACTTCTTTATAACAATGGTGCTGTTATCAGCTGTTACAAAGTCAGAGGAGGCTGGAGTTTCCATCACTCCAACCTTTGCCGATCCATATGAAACTAATCGGATATAAAAGATAAAGTTAAATTGCAATCTCAACAAATGACGACTTGTATTCATTATCCAGTCAAATAAACCATAAGGTTTTGGCAAAAAATCTAACATAGTTTTGTAAAATATAGGTTTACAGTCTGGAAAATGTAAAAATTTGTTTGTGGCTTTAAGTGGCATCATTCTATCAACTCAACATGGGAAAAACCAAGATAATATGAAAATTGCTAACATATAATAGTGGGCGCTCATGTGCAGAACTTATGGGTAGTTTAAAACTACATAAAAAAATGTGAGCACAAAAAATTACAAATGTAGAGTGCGATTTTTAAAAGGATACCTGGATGCTGAGACAGAGATATATACATTACAAAGCAATACATTAAAAGATGCTCATATCTGACGTTCCATTATATGTAGTTTCTGCAATGTCTGATATCTGCCAGGCATTTCTAGTACTCCCACAGTACATTATAGAAGTATACTTTAAACATTGGGGGTTTATGGGATTTGTAGTTTTGCAGCTAGCTTTGTATTAACTTTTTTTATAGACTGTTGTAACTGAAGATGAAGTTAAAGGAGGGGGTGTTATATAATCTAAAATGATTAAGGAACATAGGACAAAAACTAAATTATAATTTTAAATATTGTGTCTTGTTAGGTTAGAAAACATTGACATTTAACAAATTAGAAATTGAGGGCTACAGCAAGCATATTACCTAAATGACAATTTCTTGATTTTTTTGTATGCATCATACTTTTCCAAAAAAAGATTTTATTCCATTATCTGGGATTGCCTATCAAACTGTGAGATTTGCCACTTTGAATCAGTATAGTGTAGAGGTTCCAATCCTGCGGTATGTTTACCACTGGGGGCAGGGCCACCATCAGGGCATGACAACCATAGCGGTTGTCATGGGTCCGGCGGTCCTGGGGGCCCAGACTGCTCAGGTCGTCCCGCCCTGCGACACGGTATGTACCCACTGTGGCCAGCCTCTTCTCCCAGGGGTTCCCAGCAGCCGGTCACCTCAGGGCCCCCCGAGGCTGGCCCTGGTGTCACCCGGTGGGTGCACGAGGGAGCACTCTCCCCTGCTTTCCTATGGACGTTCAGCATCTTCTCACTGTGATTTTCACAGTGAGAATCGCGGAAGCTCCTTTAGTTGCTGTCACAGTGAGAATCACGGAAGCTCCTCTAGTGGCTGTCAATGAGACAGCCACTAGAGGCTGGATTAAAGAAACTGCTATGTTTTCAGCTGCAGGGTTAAAACAAGAGGGACCTGGCACCCAGACCACTTCATTGAGCTGATATGATCTGGGTGTCTGTAGTGGTCCTTTAAGTGTATCTGCATGCACTGGCGTACATACCGCAGTCGCAGGGGTCGCAGCCCTGCGACCAGGTGTCACCGCCATGTGTTGCGGCCCCAGCCCGCTCAGAGTAAGTGTGGGGGGGGCCACGTATCAGTTTTCGCACCGGGGCCCCATGGGTTGTGTGTACGCCACTGCCCACATTAGCTATGTGCACACATATATAGCGATTAACGCTATATATGTGTGCACTGCGAGCCTCCCGCTACCTGTATTCTGCAGGGGGCCCAGCACACTTGAAATATACTGCCCAGATGCTCTGCTCTGTTGAAGTCTCGCGAGCGACGCGATCGTCAGAGCGTTGCCATGGCAACGCTCTGCACGGCTCGCGAGACTTCGACAGAGCAGAGCATCTGGGCAGTATATTTCAAGTGTGCTGGGCCCCCTGCAGAATACAGGTAGCGGGGGCTGCACCATTCCTCAGGACCTGTGGCTCCAGGGCTCCAGCCGATGTGATCTCCCCCATCCATGGCCACAGGTGAGATACAGGGAGGGGGGAATAAAACAATACAATTAATGGATGGAGAAAAAAAACTGTAGGCTTTCCCCCCCCCACATTTTGCAGCCCCATACATTTACACACACTATTCACTAACACATTTACACACACTATTCACCAACACATTTACACACACTATTCACCAACACATTTACACACACTATTCATGAACATTTACACACACACTATTCACTAACATTTACACACACTATACACTAACATTTATACAAACTATACACTAACATATACACACAATATTCACTATAATTTACACACACTACATCCTTACACAAACATACACTCTGCAGTCATTACACACACTACATCCTTACACAAACACACACTCGGGAGTCACTACACACACTACATACTTACACAAACACACACTCTACAGTCACTACACACACTACTTTCTAACACAAACACACACTCTGCAGTACCTACACAAACACACACGTTGTAGTCACTACACACACTACATCCACTACACAAACACACAGTCTGCAGTCACTATACACACATTAAATACTTACACAAACACACACTATGTAGTCACTATACACACACTACATCGACTACACAAAGACACACTCTGCATCCACACACTGTATTCACTAAACACTACATCCACTACACACACACACTACATCCACTACACAAACGCACACTCTGCATTCACTATACACATCGCATTTAATACACACAAACATTACATCCACAACACAAACACACACACACACTCTGCATTCATTATAAACACACACTACATCAACTACACAAACACACATTCTGCATCTAATATACACCTCATACATTACACAAATGTACAATCTGCATCCACTATACACACTGCATCCGTTAAACACACACCGCATCTACTTAACACACAAACTCTACACACATCCTACATCCACTATACACACACCAGAATCAGTACAGACACTGCATCCCTGTGGGCGGACCAAGGGGGGGGGGGGGCAGCACTTTGGGCGGACTCGGGTGCAGGCACCGGGGGGCCCAGACCTTGAGCTGTGTCAGGGGCCCCAAAATTTCTGATGGCAGCCCTGACTGGGGGTACAAACCGTTCCACAAGTTGTACTCGCAAATTTTTTTTTTAAAAAGAGAGAGATTATGGTGACAAAAGTTCCCTGGCACACATCTCGACTATAGAAAGCAAGATGCCCCTAACCAGGAGCTTCCATTAGCTCCCTAGAGTGAAGCCCGCTTGTTCATTGACCAAGAGGCACTGCAGGGCCTAGATCAGACAGAGAGCTTTCTTCCCTCTATTAGAAGTGGTGGAGGCAAGGAGTAGCTCCCAGTGAACCCTGGTAAGAAGTCAAACCTTTCTAAAATGGTGTGATTACATACAATGGTGGTTGCACTAGGGCACTCCCGGTACTATAAAGACTGCAGCAAGCTGTAGTGATTATGATACTTGGACTCTTCCTCTACGCTTTTCACTTTCACTAGTGAATTTTCAGTGGCTGTAGATGACAGTTTTAAATTATGGCCTGTTAAAATAAAACCTCCTGGGGGCGTGGCCGACCGTTGAAGAAGATG